GTTCTCTTTATAAACCAAGGTTTATTGTGATGTCTGAATCCAACCAGTATGGAATGTGGTTTGCTTCAGAGTAAGATAATTGTACTGGCCTAGTCACTTCACCTAGCATTAGATTTACAGGTTTCGGTGCTGATGGGTCTCTGGAACACATTCCATGTTTGTTCACATGAAAACATGACCACCTCTATGAAGGGCAATAAAGGGAAATTTTCATTGCTGTACAGAAAAAAGTTACTTGACTGTGCCCTGTTACATCTTCCATCCACTACTACTATAATAAAGCAACATAGGCAAGTGAATGGCAATAGTTGGTGAAAATCTCGACAATACTGAACCCCCCAGAATGCTGCAGCCAGTGTGGTTTTAGTGCATTAGTGTAACAGAGAACATTGAAAAGCAGCTTCCATCTGTACATAGAGTTGTATTAACTCTGTGTAGGAACACAAGAACTGTCTTGCTGGATAAGACCAAAGATCCATATTGTCCAGCATTCTTTCTCTAACACTAGCTAGCCAAATAATCCAGGCCATTCATAAAATGGGCATGATACAGTCTGTAATTCACCAGCATCTAGCAACTACTTCAGAACTACCTTTGAATACAGAGGTTCTAATATTAATTGGGAGGGCTCTCCTCCATGAGATTTACCTCATCTTTTTAACTAGTAGCTATCACCAAATTCTGTAGCAATAAATTCCACCAATTCATTTTGCTTTGAATTAGAATTCCCCTGCATCTGCCCAGGACCTAAAGCTAATGCACTTTAGAGCCATCTGGGACTCATTAGTCACAGTTTTATTTTATTGATTGTGGATTTTAACAAAGCCAAATTCAAAGGTCAGAAATTTAACAGGAAAAGATGCAGTATGGAGTATTATCCTGGAAAATAAGGACAGAAGGAACATAAAAGCTAGCACTAATTTTGAGAAAACTAATTCTGATATGCACTGAAAATATCCAGATGTAAGCACACAATTCTCTGCTCTCTGGTATGTCTTCTGGGACCACCCAAGAACACCAGTCAACCATCCAAGGCATTGGCTGCAGCCACTAGAGGGAGCTCACACAGGAATGCTACTACAAGTTAATGAAAAACAATAGTAGGGGTCTGCCAGAATGCTTACAGTGCCATAACAGTATAACACTAACCCCAAATATTGAACTTAAGACATATTTTATTTTCTTTTTTCTAATCAATATGCTCAATCTGGGACTTTGAAAGCATGGAAACACTGAACAGCAGGCACTTGGATTATCTCCACTATGCATATCGGATGCTTCCCCAGATTCAGGCCAGAACCATTTTAAAGATGTGGAACTGACCCATATTTTGAGAGATGCTTGCCTCTGATGTCTATTATAAACAACTTTTCTATTAGACAGCATTGTGTATTAATTCAGCAAAGGTTTGAGCAGATGTTCCAGCTAATACCATTCTACCACTCCCACTACAACGCCTTCATTTCCAGATGTACCACATTTATTATAAAGAAACTATTTAGAGGACAAAGATTTCCTCTCTTGTACAGCAAGAGGGTATGCCAGTAATTTACTGAGTGGTCACTGCAAAACAGTAACTGTCCAATGAATGCTCCTTTCATCAGAAAATGCTGCCAGTCTGAAAACAATTCACTTAGTCTATTCTAGCTGGATGCTGGCTTGAACAAGGGATTGAGACCTACTGCCTGCACCCTGCTCTCCATTTTTGTTGTTAACAGCCCAGAAAAGGAAGTCAAATTCTGAAACACTTTTTTTTTAAGCCAAAGGCCAAAAGGAAAAATCACCAGGCAACATTTGTACCAGATGCTAGGTGCTTATTGATGCGTTAGGCTCTACTTTATGCTTTATCACTACTTGCTGCTATTTCCTATGGTCAGCAGATACCATTATGTCACAATTGGCAGCAGGTTTAAAACTTCAGATCTTCCATCCAGACCACACAGAAATGTATACTATTACTCACTAGTTACCTTCTTATCCTTTAGAATTCAACACTATAGGAAACCATTCAAAAGCAGCCATGTCAAGTCAAGGAATTACCAGTCTCAGAAGTTGGTTTGCACTTGGACTGCATCTAATCTTCCAAGTCTGGAACCCACTATGAGCAGTCCTCACATTATGGCTGTCTGTACTTAGGAACAGATTGCCATAAAGCCTATTGATTAAAAATTACTGTAGAAAATTGCCATCAGCATAGAGAGAGAGGAAGTTAAACGGGGGGAGGGCCTCCAAAGCATCACCACAGGGAGAAAGAGGAAGCAGAAGGGAGGCCTCCAAAGCCAACTTTGCTGCCCCACCTGTCCAGAGAGGGAAATTTCTCCTGCACTTCCTTGCTGCAAAGAGGCAGCACTAGTGAGTTGGGCAGGTGGGAGCTAGAGATATTTGCAGTTTTTCCACTTTCTCAGGGGTCCTGTGCCCCAACCCCCATTAATATGGAGAACCAACTATATGTGATCCAACTTTCATACAAATTTGACTTAAAGCTGAATTTCTGTTTTCTCAGGGACTGAATTCATTCATAACCCAGGGATGCCCTGTACTTCAAGTTAAAAGGGCAGGATCCTTCACAACTGAAGGTATACATGAGCACCCAAGTGGAAAACTCGACAAAATCCTCTGAGTTCCTTAGCAGGGGCCTCTTTTTATCCCAGAAGCCCACAGGTATTGCTGAAGCACTACAGCCTGTGACAAGTAGCATCAGGTTCTCATAGATGTAGGCATGTCCAATTCTAAACCCATTATTTAGCAAGCAGCATGCCAACTGTTCCCACTGCATTAGCTTGAAGCTTTCACAGAAAGTGCTCCTTGCAACACATTGAACATGAACCCAAGATTGGGGTCAGATAGAAATCCATGTGTTAATCTTCTTAACAGGGTAGACCAGAAGAAGGTAAAAAAGCAAGCATAATGGTAACTTCTAGCTGCTCCAGAAGAATGCTTCTTAAAATGCTGTTCTTGCATTAGTCAGGATGGACTAGAGCTGTACACATGTGACTATACTCACAGCTGATAATCAGCCTGTTTGGTGTCTGCAAATAAAGCTCCTCAGATCTTGTTTGTGGGATGAAATCTCCTTAATATCCGATAAGAATAAACCTATTAAATAAAAGCCTCACCAGCAGATGGTGATAGTTATCTGACTTGTGAAAAAGAAGACTCATGTTTGAGCAGGCAAAGCAGCTTTGTTCAGATTTATCGTCAACTGGCCCATCAGTAACAGAAAGCACCATTTAAATGGAGCCATCAAGTAAGTGAACCCATTAGGTTTTACCCTAGTCAAATTCCATCTATGCATCAGTTATGTGAACAGTCAGCACCTTTGCCCTGCTCATTGCAAAAAGACTGAAAGTAAGATCAGTGGCCTAGGAATGTAGTTTCAATGGGGAAAAACCATACTCCATTTTATTGTAGGCCAGAAGAAACTACCTCTAAATCTGACTATATCTTCCAAAGCACATCCAGAATGGAGATGGCTTGGGGAAAGAAATGGGTTAAAATCAGAAAAATTGCTTTTGCCTCCAAATTCGCCCAGAGTCCCCGGAAAAAAGTGTGTTGTACTGTTTTCTGCATTTTGTTAGTTTCATCTCCACCACCTTTTTAAAGGCTTCTGCTGGGCCTTTCTATATCTCTAATGTAGTCCACTCCGGTAGAAATACTTCCTACCAAAAGTTTGTTTCTTCAGTTTTAAAAAAATCAAAACAGATTCTGTTTGAGTATTCAATAAAAGCAATAACCATCATGGCCCTTCTGTGTGAGCCACCCCCAGTGAAGTAAAAGAAGAGATGGCAAGAAGGGCCTTAGTTTTTCTGAGGAGCTGTGTTTAGCACCACCCTAAGTTCACCTTGCTACTGAACTTCCAATGCCAGGCAAATATGTTTTTATTTAGCATTGTTTTTTATAAGTTACCTTGATTTTATTATTTGATATCTGTGCTGCTTGCTTTGAACACTATGACTTCCTGTCCTAAATATTGAATTTTATAGTTTTATTCTATTTATGGTTTTATCTACTTATGTTGAATGTTTTTACCCTCATTTGTAAGCTGCCCAGAGAGCCCATGGGCTATCGGGTGGCATACAAATGTAACAAATTATAATAATTCTTATTATCGTCATCAATACACCCACTGGCTGTGTTCACAAATAACGATAAGCCATGCTAGAGACTGCTTGCCGTTTTGTGTGAATACAGCAAGCACAGTGAAGTGTGGCATGTTTGGTTGCCATGAATCATCACAAATAGCCAATGGTCTGTTTTAGGGTTTCCATGTTTCCAAATTGCTTGTCATAATGTGTGAAACTAGTTGCAATATTTTTCCTCTGTTTTCCCATTTTTGCAAGGGTGGCCGCTGCAGTATAGACACTCCAGCTGCCACTTTTTGCTGCCCCACTTTGCCTAGCAACTTCTGAGTTGTCAGCAGCAGGAAACTGATTGGTTGTCTCTGTGCTCCCCGCCTTCCGTCCCAGCACACTGTCTGAGGCCTGGCCACGAGCTGCCACCATGCCTGCCATACACACCTGGCCATGTTAGCCTCACCTTCTTGCCTCACTAGAATGCTTGACTTGCAAGAGATCATCTTGCAGGATCTGTCTTGAGAGGCCTTGCCAAGATGTCTGCTTCACAAGAAAGGCATCTCAGTGAGGTGAGATGGCAAGGCAGGTGAGCACTGGAGTGTGCATGCTGGCAGAAAAGAAAGGGAGAGCTTCCAGCAACAGCAACTGTAGGGGCAGCCAAGTGAGGCACTCCTGTGTCACTGTTGCCCTTTGCTGGAGCAGCGCCTAGTAAACGTACTGGCTTCTGTATGCTGGACTGCTAGGGGAGGTAGACCTGGCAACGTGAGCATGTCCTGCACATGTGAGGGGGAGCATCAGGCAAATGTGCAGCAAGGGGAGAGAAGTGTGCCTGTGTATGTGGGCACAGACATGCTTATGAATGGGCATGGTGTGTGGCTGCAGTGGAGGGTTGTTGCTCTGTTGCCCCTGCAAAGCCATTGTGCCACACTAATGAGCAGATGGGGGGCTCCATGGGGCAGCAGAAAAAAAGGTGGCAACTGGCTGGAGGGAGCATGCAGGCCAATGGGGGAGAGACAGGTGAGGCAGGCAGGAGCAGGGTAACCTGGGACTGATTCCCAGGCATGGTGGCTGACGGGAAATGTACCACCATGGGAAGATGGAGGTTTGTGGGAATACTCAGAAGCAGTTACTATGCAAATAGGTGAAAACAGGACAGAAGGTGAGGTGCCATGCCTTGAGGCTACCATGTGGTATTGTTTAGCATTATGTGTGAACATAGCCAGTACCTCATCTTCTGTTTATGGTAAACAGACATCCCCTTCAAGAAGTAAGCACAGATCCAGGAATTTATCAAGTTTTTTATTTTGTTTTTGTTCTGCAGAGTAATCATTGCGACATTTTAATTCGACAGTGTGTCAAAAGAGGAAAGGTAAAGTCATTATTTGCTATATTTTTGTTGGCTCATTAAATATTACATAGTACCATTTTTGGCAGCCCTCAAAGACACACAGAGAGGAGAAGAAGGTATTTCAGAGGGACCTAAATCAAGGAGGGGGTTGGACCCAATGGCCTTCTTGGCCCCTTCCAACTCTATGATTCTATGACCCTGAGAGCCTGATGCCAAAATAATGCAGGCTTGAAAAGGAGCCATACATATGGACATCTACAGTTGGTAGGAATCACCTCCATCTGGTCAGGAAGGAAAGTGTTTGTAAAACAGGCATGTTGGTCATGCTAATGATGTAATACAGATTTGTAATTGGCACATGGGAGGGCAGCAAATAGGCTACTATAAAATTTTCTGGATAATGAAAGAAGACAAGCAAAATGGTTTCTTTGGACTGCCTTGCACATTTAAAATAGTGAATCCTATTCTAATATTTATACTTCAGAATGCCTGAAAATACCAGAGAACTGTAAAGAGCTCAACATTGCCCAAATTTTTTACAAGTTAGTTTTTCAGATGAGTAACCCATGCTTCAGATCAGCTGATAGTAAAGACCAATTTAATAGGCATATATCAGGGCGCAGATGCCTAAAAAAGAGTCTGCAATGAGGCATAAACATGGGAATAATGTTCACCAATTACCTCAAGATAGTGGTGCTCTGTTATTCCTCCAGTCCTCAAAATGAAAATCGTATTTCAAAGCATGCCTTTGTTAGAAAAAACATATAGCCAACTACTTTAAATACTATTACAATTACTGAATAAGATCCAATGGCCTGTTATATGCAGCTTACAGATGATAACTATTAAGAAATTCAACTTCCTCCTTCCTTAAAAATCAGGCTTATCTGCAAAGCTGTTTTGTCCTACATCTACATTTAGTCTTTAGCCCTCTTGTGAATCTTCTGAAGTTAACCATTATTAACCCCCTTCCATCTAAGTCATGCCATCTGAAGATCTCAGAGCATCTTAGTGAACCTACATGGCCTAAAAGGGAAGACATGCCACTTCTTTTACAGCTGGAGAATCACTTAATAAATTACAAGCAAATCCTTGTCCATTACTGGTAATAAGTACCTATCACTTTCTCTTGACCTTCAAGCTGTAAAGCAACACCCATCTGGCTTCCTATGAATGTAATTGTGAACAATGTTGCCAGAAAAACAATTGTGTGAACATGGGAAACTGAAGCAACTCTTGCACGAATGGTGGAAGTTTCAGCAATTTCAGGTAAGATGTATTTTAAGATATAAATGGATGAGAATGGGTAAAAGTGAGATCCTTTGTTGCCAGCCTGCAACAAGACACCTGACTAGCATGCCAAGAAATCCACAGGACAAGACAAATTACAATCACCTGAATTTTCGGTTTTGAAATCTTCCAGGAATGGTACTTCAAATCTTTTACTTCATGTTGACAAGCTCACATGTTTCATCCCTACAATCACAAGTATGACTCGTCAGTCACACACACCTTTTTATATTCTTCCCTCTACTAAAAACACTGGCTCTTTATGGTCAAGAAAAACAAGTGACCCTTTCATTAAAAACAAAAGTTATGGGGAGGGAAGACAGGAAGGAGAAGGTATGCCAGACTGAGCAAGTGCCTTTTGTTTCCTTAGTGTCTGGGAAATCATTTGACCCTTGCAAATTATTCTGGGTTCATCCTAGTGCAGCCTTAGCCCTTTGGCCTCTAGTGCAGTTGGTGCAATTTGCTATTTGTCCATCAGTTCAGGGAGATGCAATATACCCAGAAGAGCTGGCTACTAAGAGAACTTCTCTTTCAGGCCACTGCAAAATTTTCTGCACAAGGCAGTGTCATAGCATTATCACAGCTGCTTCTCCAACTGCAGAGCCAGTGTGGTGTAGTGGTTAAAAGTTCGGGTCTGAGACCTGGGAGATCTGGATTCTAGTTCCCATTCAGCCATGGAGGTAACTGGGTAACTTTGGGCCAGTCACAGACTCTCAGCCCAACTTACCTCACAGGGTTGTTGTGCGGATAAGATTGAGAGGAGGAAAAAAAATTAATGTAAGCCACTTTACTTTTCTTGGAAAAGCCAGGATATAAATATAATTCATACATACATACTTTCAAGCTGAGACCAACAGCCCCTGTTGCACATTGGGGTATGATGGTATACAGGGCCAGAAACTACATCACTGCTGCCTATCCACAGAATTGGAAAGGCCCAGAAGGCCATCAATCCAACCCCCTGCTATTGCAGGCCACTAAGCTACACCATCCCATTCCTAGCTGAAAAGATCAGAAGAAACATCTACAAACCTAGGCCTATGAAAGGTAGTTGGGATGGAGTAAGTTTGTTACCATTTCCACTCCTCCATTGTCAAGCCAGCCCAGATTTCATAATAGGCTTACTTTAGGTAAATTGAAAAATACTTTCATACTTTTCCTGGTTACAGTGTGTTTACAGTATTTGTGAGCATAAGCCACCAAATCTAGGATTTCCTAAGCACTGTAATGGAGGAAGAAACAGATTGATTTACAGAATCAAGATGCGATATGAAATATTAGTTCTCACCTGGATAACTTCTCCATTGGAAGCTATAAGGTCTGTTGGGATGGTGACTCTGAAGGAACGACCCACTACAGCAGAGCTGTCTGGAATTCCCACCACTGCTGGCACACTTTCTCGAAGGTCTGAAAGCACCAAATGCATGGAGGCCTCTAACTGGTTTTCCCAGTCCCGTACAACTTCTGAGGCTTCACTGGGCCAATGGCACTTAACAGTAGTAGTCACCATCAACACCAGCAAAGTCCTCCCCAGTACTGGGGACAGCTGTACAAATCCAAGAGTCATTCTTTCTGAACGTACCAGGTACACTGTTCTATTTAGAAAATGAGATTCAGGGCCCAGTAAGCTATACAGAGCTGTTAGTCACAAGTTCTTCACACCAGCTTCATTGTTGCCAGCTTCGGTACCTGAAAGGGGAACATACACAAGTCATTCAGCAAGTGAAGGCAGACTGTATTATGACCTTTCCTCTGAGTAATGTTTGTCAGCTGGCTTAGGAAATGAAGCCTTTCAGCAGCTGAAGCCTTGGGTTCCTGCTTTTTAAAATCTACAGCTTTTGCACTGGCCCAGAGATGTTTTCATCCAGGGTACAGTTGACCCTCCTCCACTCAAAATGCCCTTATTAAACTTAAACCCCCTTGGGATGGTGTTCCCAGTGAACCCACACCCAGATTACTGATCTGATCTTTACCATTTTGGCTTCAGCAGTGCTGCAGTATCAGATGTTTCTAGGATATTCATTCCCCAAAATCACAAAAGAATGTGAACAAGGGATGAAATAGTGTAACAACTTCAGAAGCAGCTGATATTTCAAGAAAACCGTAATACACTTGAACAAGGAATTTACATGTTAGTTATCAAAATGATTGAGGAATTGTTAGATTGGCAAGAAATAGAAGATTGGCAGCCATTTAGTCCCACTACTCAGGTCTCTGCACACAACAGTTTGCCCTAACTTGCAAGTTTGACATTTTTCTATAACAATCTATAACTCTTTATGCATGAGGTCTCACTTCCTACCTGGGCACTGCTTCGATGTAGGAAATTCCACATACCCACTGTCTTGTTTGGGAGACATACTGTGACAGGTGAGTATGGTGCAGGAACTCTCTACCAAAACAAAGGCTTCCTGTTGCATGTACGTGCGACAAAACTGACAAGCCTGCACACTTCTACAAACACTGAACTTCCTGCACGAGGGTGACAGGAGTGATGGAATTTCATCTTGTGTAAAGCAGCCCCTAGACATTTGCTTTATGTTCTACAGTTATCAGATGTATAAACATAAATCTGTATGGCATGCACTTTCATTCAGTGCTCCCCTTTAAGGCACGCTACCTCCACACTTTACTGTTATACTGAAACAATTTCAAGTATACTTTCATATTCTAAAACAAAGACACGTTTGATGCAACACACAAATAATAAATTCGATTCTGGATCTTTAACAGTCCCTTCATATATTTATATGAATGAGGGCATATTCTAATGTTCAGATCCCATTATAGCAAACAATCAGGCCAGGCATCACACTTTTTAAAAAAGTTTCAAATATGAAGCAGGCTTGTCTCTTTCACTTAATGAAAAATATCTACATCATCAAGCAGTCTCATTATTATAATTTATATAACTACACTGAGCTACGTGCACTTGTTAAAACACAGGCTTCAACCATAGGTAACTCATAAACTAGACTAGTGTTTGCTCTGAAAAACCATCAAAAGCAAGACTTTCAGTGCCATCAAGTAGCAGAAGGCTCCTTTAAATCATAGCACTGGTATCACAACCTTAGGTTCTAAAAATTTCTTATGAAGATGTAACTTGATTCTGGAGGTTTTCTACAATAGACACTTAACTGGGATTAAGCCCTCCTGAACACAATGGAATTTATTTCAGAGTAAATGTGCATAAGGCTGCACCAAAAAGAAGGTCCTGGCAATCACAATTTTTGCTAGGTCATCAAGGGCAGCCAAAATTTGTGAACTGCTACTGAAGTATCATAAGCCTTGCAGGAAACTTTAATTTATGGTGTTCTAAACAAGTGCAACAACTAGATCTCTAACTGTACCAAGGAGAAGTATTAGTAGCAAATATAACATCTGTTCAAGTACAAACAAGTTTTAAAATGTTTTGTCCTGTCTGCAGTGCTACAGCAATGGAAACACATTCAAATGTTAAGGTTTCTACTACTTTGCAAAATACAGTCAAGTGCCTATTGTTACCCTTTAGGCAAGGAGAATGATATATTTGAAACCTAGCAGCCAGGCTGCAGGTGTACTGGTCTAAATAGTAAGTATTTAGCCATAGAATTATGGGTCTTTATTAAAAGCAGGTGCACAGTTTCATCATATGCCATGTGAGTTAAAAGCAAACTGTCCAACTTCATCGAGCAAGCTTTGATGGGCTCTGACATAATGACATGCATCATATATTTATAGATCTATGGCAGGCTTCTCCAATCTGATGCCTATCAGATGTTTGACTACAACTTCATCTCCAGTCAATGTGGCTGAAGAAAGGCTAGTCAATGGTAAGTCAACATAAGCTTGTAGTATTCACATTTTGACTGTTAAAAATATCTGTTGACAAATCTACACATTAGCCATCAAACTGAGAATAGCAAGGAAATCTGGGTAAATTAATTTCTGCAATAAGCACATTTATGTGTTAGGTTGAAATTTTTTATTTAAATAAAAACATACTACAAGGGGTAATACAAAGCATTACGGTAAATATAGGTGCTAAGAGTTAACCAGGATGTCAATAGTGGCATTCAAAATATATTCCTAGTACATATATTTATGCAAAGTGTGTCTTAAAGTTACTTATTTGTACCCTCAGTAAAAATTATATTTTTCTTTTCTTTTCTAAACTGCCCCATAGCTGAAGCTCTCTGGGCAGTTTCCAACAATCTAAAATTAAGAGTTGCTTCCCAGCTAGACTGGCTCTATACTGCTGACAAGCCTTTTAAAACTGATATTAAGTTAGCAGATATATGATATATGCAACAACGAAGTGCCTTTTTCACAATCACTTCTCTGATCATTTTTTGTACTCATTCCACACTGACAACCTGATGAGCATCTCTTATCAGCAGTAGGAAAATCTGCCCCCTGAGAGTAATCTAGAAAGAAAGAAAGTCTTGACTGCTTAAAACTGTGCACCCAAGAAAAGGAAATAGGCATTTATTTCTATTCTTGCTATTTATTGAGATCCTTGACAGCCACCTCTAAATCACTTTGTATTTCTCTTGCTTAACATTCTGCACATATTATTCTATCAGCAACAGAAATGATGGAAGAGTGGTTAGACCCGAAAAAGGGAAGGATCACGTCTAACTGGATGTAGTACTGCACCAATAATTTTGGCTCAGAGGTTTATGGGTTGGACACCATACATCACTAAACAGCTGCTTCTTTATACCCTCATGCTAGCAGAAGCAAGTTGAGGCCAGTTCTAACTGAAGTTTAGTTATCGAGTTTAAAAGTGAGGACATAAACACAACTAGGGCATGAAAACAGCTTTCCTGAGCACAGAAGTATGAAAGGAAATGTAGAGGAAAAGATGAAGGCAAATGTAAACAAAAATGTTTACCAAAGGATTGCCAAAATGGCTTAATACTGTACCTCCAGTCCCCAATTCAGACAGTCTACTAAGAAGGGTATATCGGAAAATGGTACTGAGAGGTCCAAGAGACTCAACAGGCTCTTACTGCTCCATCTGTTTCTCAACATACATCATCCATCAGCATGACCAAGGTAATTCTTGTGCCAAATCCAGGCTTGACAACAAAGTAAAGCGTTCTTGCAGCTGAATGGCCACCTCATACTCAGACATCTTTTTTCAGAATTTCTAAATCTAATGCAGGTTTTTTTCAGGAGTGATCCTATCACCATTTCTTCCTTTAAGAAAGCTGAGACTACTTCTCTGGAGGAGATATTTACTACTTGTTGGAATCAGCTAGCAGAGTCTTTTCACTTGATGTAATAAAGGGAAATGGTTGCATGAACCATGGTTGTCAGTGAAGCCATGAAATCCAAGCTATTTCAGATTAAGAGGCCCTTTTTACCAGCTTATAACAAGCAGCTTTGAACTACAGGGGTCTGTAGCAAGGTCATATGCAAGACAAGCCCCAAACACACATATTTAATCACCTTTCCACCTGCAAATTCAGTGGTATGATGGTGGCAGAGCTGCAGCCTGAGTGAAGTCTGGGTGACAGTGCAGATCCCTGAAGCCCAAAGGATGCTCATTCCTGCCCTAAACAAATGTAGTTGTAGAGTACAGTACACCTCTTGTGGGTTGGATAATGGTGCTACATAGTTTAAAGGCTTTAGATGGGAACCAATGTTTTAATTGTTATAAAAATCAATATGTACTGCTGTCTAGGAAATGCCTACAATTTACAAAATTTAAATATCTATTTAAAATTAGATTTTACAAATTAGTTTGTAAAATCTTTTTCATTCTGAATTCTATCTCAAGGGTCTATTACTTTGTACATATGCCTCACAATATGTGACAGATACCAGCTTTTTAAAAAGCTTAGCTAATTCAATAGTTAAAGTGATGTAAGTCCATCCACCTTCAGCATGTTCTTTTAAGTGTTAGGAACAAAGATCTACAAGTAGCAAGAAAAAGGAAAGGAGTCCCTGCAGTTTTTACCCTGTTAGCCCAAAAGCTGTAAGAGGGTGGTGCTCATCTCTGTCTCCTACAAGTAGGACCTGAAATTAAATGCTGCAGTGAATTTCCATACAGCTCTAGGCCTCCCACATCATCACTTGAATTGCCACTATGTGAAAATACCCCTTACTTTTTAGCTCAGACTCACAACTAAAGGAAACATGGAGCAGTTTTGGTAGTAATACTTCATGAGATTACCAAAAACGAACAACCCCCCCCCCACACACACACAAAACCCTTTAACCAGGTGGCCTTTTATTCTTGGTTGGGTCTTTTAAATGGTCTTTTACTGTTTTAATGTTTTAATGCTATTTTAAATTAATGTTTAACTCTTGTTAGTTGTTTTATTTATTGTATTTTATTGTTTTTACCTTTTGTAAACTGCTTTGGCTATGGGTGGTAGAGAAATTTAATAAATAATAAAATACGGAGGAGGAGGGCTCTGTTCATACTATGGAAATAAATGCTTTATTACAAACACATCAACTACAAGCAAAACTACTCTGAAAGAACAGATCAATCTTAAAACAAAATTGGAAATAACAGAACATAGCATTGGCCCCAAGAAGCCTTTAAAACATTTCCTTCCAAAATTATGTGAAGAACTTTCCATTTTCATAGGACCAGACAATATATATATATATTACAATAATATATATTATATATTATACATGTCTCAATCCCACTGCAATTAGGTCGCATTAAAGCTTTTACAGAAAACCTGCTCCAAGCCACAATGAACACATCCTTATTCAAATGACCTTTAATACAAATTGTTCCAAGATGAATATACAGAACACAAGCTCATGTAGATCTTTGTGTATAACACTCATCAGTGATGCTAATATGCCTTGACAAACTAGCCTCTCCTGAACCAGTTTCTGAATTTATATATTAACAGAACTCAGTCTTTCATAGAGCTTGAAAGCTAAACTGGGAGGTCCTTTCATCTGAAATTTCTTCTTAATCTAAATTATTTTCCTCATCACTCTAACACAAAAAGTATGTAAGATCTTTAGACCAAAGTCCTACTAAATGGAAGTTTTACACTGTGACTCTCTGGGATGTTTTAGGGCCAAGGTTACTATGCAAATATTAGTCTTGCTAATCACATTTCTAGGTATGTAATCAAGTAGACTAGAGAAGGACACCAGATAATGAATGTTCTGAAGTGAAAAACATGCAGTACTTCAAACATCTCTGGTATTGTGCAAACAGGCAAAGGCACAACATTATTTTTTTAAGTAGAACATCTTGAACAAAGAAATCGCCAAAATAAGGGCTGTTTTGTAGATGGCCAAGTGGATTTGAGTTATACAACAGTATAGTCACTTCCAAATTTCTTTAATGAAAGCATTAGGTTGAGAACCTAATGAAAATAGGTTGAGAACACGTTTTTATAGGAACAGCCCAATTCATTTATTCTTAGCAACCTATCTTGAAAGTGTCACAAAACTGTTGTTTTGACAATGGACTAATGTGTCTACCTCTCTAGAAATTAAAATAAATCTATTTTATGTATTTATACTATCTGTCACTGGGGCTCATATGTACTATCAAGTAACTGTCGCTTCTAAATAAATAAGTTATTTATGGTGGGCATGTTGTGAGCTGAGCCGGCTGGAGCCGGGGGTCAGACTAGATGGCCAGGGAGACCCCTTCTGACTCATTCTGTTTCTGTGTTTCTAAGTTACCAACAATATGTGAGGAAGATAATATTTCCTATCTAGTACAAAATATGTTTTAAACACCATATAATCAGAAGTTCTACAGTATCCTAAATTTTTCATATTTTGTGTTTAGATGCCATTAGAATACAATTAAATCCATGGTGTATATATTTAAAGATACAATTTAAAGTTAATTCCAATTTTAATGTTGCAATGTCTGTTTAGCAATTTCTCTTTGGCATTTTCCTTATTAGTGTTTCAGTGGTAGAGTACCTCCTTTAGCACATGGAAGTCCACCGTTGGCTATTTAACCCTAGCAGAAGCCTAAAACAGATTATGACTCAAATAAGCTGCTCTGACTGGGTTTGGATGATACAATAAGCAAGCCATGGACACCTTGGTCAAGACTTACACACTTCAGCTCCTCACAAGTATATTAACCTAAGATGCATTGTTGCACTATGTGAACAGGAAAAGTGACTCATTTGTATGTCATCAGCAACCCAGTCAAGGAACACAAGGTTGCTGAAAATGAAGTGGAAGAAGTAAGTATGCTGTTCCCAGTGTGTGCCTGCTCTGATAAATAAATAAGGGATACCATAGGGTGGTAGGGTGTTTATTCTGGCACCTGCGCCCAGAACTCTACAGTGTCGGGAGGGAACAACCCAAAGTTTGAACTCATTGGGGTTTTTTTGCTGGAGCAGAAAAGTACACAGGAACCAGCACACACACTTGCTCCTGCTACATTTCCAACAATCCACATTTTTGTTTAATTCAAAAAATATATAAAATAAATATAAACCATGATTTAACAACAACGTGCAAGCTGGATTAATGTTGACAATACTGGGCTAGGTAGTCCAATCATTAAATTCATTGACTGGATTCACACAATTACAGAAATTTGCTTGGTTTGTCTTGTTTCCTCTCCTCATGTGTGCCAGTTGTGAGCCTCTTGATTAGCCTTGTTACCACTGCTAGGCATGGATTGTCATGATGTCTAAACCTGGTATGCATGCACGGATGGGATGGTTTAGAAGTCATTCTGAAACCCAGTGCTTGTTCTAGGATTTCAGGGTACAACACATCCCAGCCACTCAGTCAATTTAGGCATCCCGACAACCTGTGTAGTGAAGGTCACTAAGCTAATTAGGCAGGCTGTGACCAGCACACATCA